GAAGTTACCTTGATACCCCTTGCTTAGCTAGCCCATCCGCTATGGCATTAGCTGTTCTACCCACCCACTGAGAATTAACAACCATGTTCCTTGAATACCACTTAACTTTTCTCATAATGTCCCTGTAGCACCAAATAACTGAATCTGGATTTTTTAGCCAACCCACAACAACTTTGGAATCTCCTTCAATAAGCAAATTCTGAACTCCTAACTGATCTGCAATCTGAATACCTTGTACCGCTGCTAGAAGCTCAGCTCTAATAGTCTCCTATACCCACGGAGCCAGAGAATAAAGATAAGATATTGCTGTCTTTGTCTCTCAGCACCCCTCCTATTCCTGAAGGGCCTGGATTTCCTTGGCTGCTACCTTCAGGAGGAGGCACCCACACTGCTGGTACCCTGCTCTTCCTTGTACTACTACTAGCCACAACTATCCAATTCCTCCATACGTCATCAAAGGAGTATATTTTAAAGGAGTATAATTAATTTTGTTTGATGAAACTTTTCTTTTTCTTAGCATAAAAAGAAATTTCCTAGGTGAAAGATTGATGAAGGGATCTAACAAGTGAATAATCTGAGCTTTTTTCTTTGGTATTTCTAGAATTGGAGTCATCTGTAGTGTTTTTAGTTGCTATTTTTTTCAGTAGCTATTTTATAAGAATTGGAGTCATCTGTAGTGTTTTTAGTCGCATTAGGAGTTAGTTTTCCTAATTGCATTAGGAATTGGTTTTCCTAACTTTATTAGGAAAGGTTCCTAATTATGCTATGAACTAGTTTTCATAATTGGATAGGAGTGATTTTAGCAAGCCAAAGTTATAAGTAGTAAGTTGGAGTCATAGTTCTGAGTTAACTGAGATTTGTCTTATCCTAGTCCTAAGTCAACTGGAATTTCTCTTTTGCAGTTAATTAGTCCTATTTACAGAGTCTTAGAAGTGTTACGTAGTAGGTTATAGAGCAAGAAAACAGTGGAAAAGGGCCAGCCATCCTTCCCCCCTTTACCTGCATATAAATTTAAAGCCATCTCTTTTTGATATCAGATGATATAATGTTAGGTTTCTACTTCTAACATTTTTTTGGTATCTTCTGAAGGGCTACACAATGGGGAGGGGGGAGCCCATCCCCCAACCCAGGTGCAAGCGGGATTCATTCCCAAGTCTCCGCTATGACCAGCAAAAGACCTTACCAACCAGCTGGTTGGCACCTTGAGGTTTCTACTTTTAACATTAAAGTGATAACTTTCTTGATAGTGTTGACTCCATCAGAAAGTTATTAGGTGCTGATTTCTAGGTGGCTCTTCTCTTTTCTTTATATTGCAATCAATCCTGCATCAACAAAATTCCAATTAACAGTAAAGTTTGCATTACTGCTCTCTTTCAGAGCCTCAGACTCTCCCACTTTCTTATCACCCAAGGTCTGGTGGTAGAAGATCATTCTTCTTTCTTTCAGTAGTAAAATGAAATTTTATTAAGAAAATGAAAAAAAAAAAAGATAATTACAAGAAATACAGGTAGGACCAGCCCAAATCCAAAAAAAGAGGCCAAAAGGAAACAAGCTATAAAATAGTTATACATGAAACCCACCCAGCTCATGACACCAGAGATTCACCAAAAAACCACCAATTCAAACCTGCCCAAAACCAGAATTAACTAAAAAGCAAGGGCCACAGAACAGCATCAATGCGGAAAAAAACCAGACCACCAAAGGAATCACCACCTGCACTTAGACTGACATTTTACCACATCCACCTCTTCCCCTACCTCTTACACTCTTCAATCCCCTAGAACTTTCTTGGACCAACCACCAATCTCCTCAATTTCCAACCACCAGGCGGCCCCCTAAACTTATACAAGTCCTGTCCAGCATCCACTTCAAATTCATTGTGCAGGTCCTCATGAAAACCACAGCAGTCATTTTTCGGAGGTGCCACCCAGATGTCTCACATTCTAAACAATCAAAAGTTGCCCTAGCCCATTCTCTATCACCAAGAAAGAACAGGCCCATAGAGTTGGCTATTTGAACATCTCTTTCCACACTGCTCTCATGTGACATGTCCTTAGCATCAGCTAAATCTTGGTTAACCTTCTCCATCACCTAACTCTCAGAGAGAGGTTCTGTCTCAACTGTAGGGGAGGATGCCTCTTCAACACCCAAACCTTTCCCAAGATGCCTATCCTCTTTGTTGTTTTCATCAGCCACAACAGAAACCTGCCCTGCCCTCCCTTTTCCTTTTGTCTTCTTCTTAAGCATTCTTCATTGCTTGAAAACAAAAAAAAAAGAGTTTTTCTTGAATTTTGACTGGCTCAAAACCCATTCTTGTATAGTGTTATGGGCCCGGGAATAAGATCTCGTCACGGGTCGGTCCACGGGGAAAACCTCCTGTTTTCCCTTGTTCCTCCCTTTTCTTGATGAACCTATCTTGGCGCCTTAATGGTGATTTGTTCAAGAGATCACTTAACTCTCCTCTGCTCTCTTTCTTGACTGAAATTTTCGATGATTTTATTCAATATTCTCAGCTCCTTAAATAGGAGATTACAAGAGATAAGAGTCCTAMTTTTAGGAAGACTCCTTGCTAATTAGGAAGACTCCCTACTAATCTATCCTACTGAACTGATAAGATAAGATAAGATAAGACTCCCTTAATCTATCCTACTGAACTGATAAGATAAGATAAGACTCCCTACTAATCCATACTACTGAACTGATAAGATAAAAACACTGAATAGATAAGACTCCTACTAATCCCTACTACTGAAAGCAGATAAGGTAAGAATACTAAATAGATAAGATAGGATGAGAACAATAAATTGCTGCTGCTGAGAACACTAAATTACTGCTGCTGCTGCACTAAATTACTGCTGCTGCTGCCGGCGTCCACATCATATAGCTATTAGATGATTTTCATGGCAAAACTCTTGCACTATGCCAAATGTTCCTGCTTTGGCTTATAAGGCAAACATCTCATTCTGTTGGAATTTCAGTCTTCCATTGTAATTGTGTTATTGTTACTTTTGCCTGCATATTTAATATAGGGCCTGTATGCTTCTCTTTTCACCTACTTGTAGACAATTTATTTCACCTTCATTATTGGTCACAAATAAAAATGCAACTTGTTATAAGATCAGGTGCATCACCATTCTATTGATGATTGAAGATGAAAAGATTAATGGTGTTAACAGTAGTTGTACTATGCCGTAGAGGCATTTTTTACTCCAAAACTTCTCTCCTCTCTTCTCTCTACTCTTTTTCTTTAATTCTTTCTACTAAGAAAACATGATATCAAAGCATCGGTTTTGGGATTAAAAGCAGTTTGATCATCTATTTCTTCCTCAGTTTTCTCCTTTCTTTGATCGAAGCCAGTGGGAAAGTACATCGACTGATCTGTAAGTTTTTTTTTTCATTTTTTTCCTTTTTTCTTTCTTGGTCATGTGCCAAGAAAACCCTGGAAAAGGGGTGAACTGGTGCTGTGAAGGGTGTTCTCAGTCCCATGTGGATCGTGTGATCCTGTTTTGTCCCCTGTAGCTGGGATGTGTTGGTCTGGACAACCTATATATGCTCTAACAGAAGTTTTATATATTGCTTAGGTGTTTGGAGTACTTGTGTGGCCTGAAATAGGGTGAAATGGTCCTTGTAGAGGCTGTTTTTTACCTCTGGAACTCATTTCAGCAGTGTGGTAGTGTGCCTTCTTTGGTTTGATCAAAGAGGAATGTTCCTATAATTCTATTTTTTATGTGAGCTCAAGTACTCTTGTGACAGTGGTGATAGTTGTTTCTTCCTTCCTGCTGTGTTTGGTGACTGAGGTAGTGTAATCAGCTCTTTCCATCAATGTCTTCTGAGGATTCAGTTGGTCTCCAGTGTGTCCTCTGGCCACAATGGAATGAGCTGGGCACTAGACATGGACTTTCCTATGACTCTAATTCCATTTGATGGACTCAATTACCAAGAATGGTCGAAGGGGATTAAACTCTACATAACTTCAAGGGAGAAAATAGGTTATATCAATGGTAAGACAAAAGAACCAAAGTCAGGAAGTGAAGAACATGATAGGTGGATCAAGAAAACAGCACAGTAATGTCATGGCTATTACTGTCTATGCTGCCATGGGTGAGGAAAGCATTCATATGGGCTGAGACTGCTTTTGAGATTTGGGAGCAAACTAAATCTACCTATTCAGAACAACGTTGTTATGCAAAGATTAATCAGCTGCAAGCTACTTCTTCAACCTGCAAGCAAGAGGAGAGGAGTCTCTCCACATACTACTCGAGTTTGACCTCCATTTGGAAGGAATTGGATGACAATCAAAATGTGGATTGAAAATGTGATGTGGATGCTAAGGCCTACAAGTCTCTAGTCTCTCAGCAATGGGCTTTTGCCTTTTTGGGGGCTGAACCTTATGCATGAATCTATTAGGGTTCAGATGTTAGGAAGTAAAGAGCTCCCATCAATGCAGGAAGTATATGCTCTAGTACAGTCAAAAGAAAGCATGAGGAATGTCATGAATTGTTCAGAGGGGGAACCGGTTGCTCTAGCATTCCTAATTTAATGCCTTTCTTGATGTTATTGATCTCATCACAGTGTTTTTTTTTCTCGTCACCAATGGCAATTTAAATGATGAATATTATTTGCAGATTGCCAATAGCATTTAAGGCTCCATTTGGAAGGAGTACAAATACAAATATGTAGAGTGCAAAATCTTGTACTTTGTATTATTTTGTATGTATTTGTACTGTACATATTTGTATTTGTACTCCTTCCAAATTGAACCTAAATTTCCTCATCTTGAATGGTAGATACAGTGTCTTGACAAGCTCCAATACCACATTATCAAAACTGAGTGATAAGCTAATCAAATGCAAATTGACTGGTTCTATAACAAAACTAATGCAACCCTCCGGCTTTTTACTAAATATATAATAACATGAGCAATAAAAATGGGGAAGAAAAAGAAAGGAAAACAAAAGGACAGGATGAACTGCGAAAGAATTCTTCTCGATTGCAACTACCTTTGCAACTGCCATCTGCTTAGACTTTGTTGAACTAGATTTGTATGACATACTCCTAGAGTAGCGTGGAATCCCATCATACACCTCCTGGTTGCTTCCATATGGGCTGTTCATCTCAGGAAATGAAAAAGGTTCTCCTAACTGCTTGTCCATGCTTTCCCTCCTCGGAGGGGGAGTCAAATCAGTACCCATGTTTGATGATAATCCGGAAGACTGATAAACACCAGACCCATGATCAACATGACCATTGGCATTTGGAAAGCTTCCACTGGAGGCATTATCAACAGTCGATCTCCTCGAACAAAGCCCTCCCATTGTGTCGAGGACCAAAAGTAATAGTTCACTTCTTCGTCTAGCTTCCCATACAAAAGAAAATAAAATTACATATATCAATAACAGTAACTAAAAGCAAAAAGGACCTCCTAGCACTCAGACCCAGTGATTAACAGCAAATGAAAGGCTAGCCTTCCCCAATCAACCACAAAACGTTGCAAAGACAGATTCCGGGAATCAGAAATACCCTGCCCAGCTCCAGAAACTTGATCCCGTGTTCCACCAGAAAGCTCCACAATTTCTATGTTGCTGACTATTTCTCCAGTCCATCAAAATCAAACTGCAAACCAAAAACCAAACATATTAAAATTTAATAATTTCACACCTTCCCCCCAACCCCCTACTTATTCGAACTAGTAAACAAATAAATAAATAATAGTAATAGAAATCAGAATCAAGGGAAGACATGAACCGAAACCCAATTAACCATGACAGAAACACCACACCCACCATACTAGAAACTATAAAAAAGAAACAAGGAATATCCAGATGAGTGATCAACACAGATACCATAAATGAACAATATCACCCTGAGAACTTAAGATCAGTCACCAACTATCGGAACCCAGACACAAAATCGCGCATATACACGGATACCCACATGCATACATCTCCAAAATAGACAACTGAACAAGAAATAAAAAACACACGGAAACAGAATGAAGAAAAATAAACACGGAGAAGAAGAGGCTCACCAGCAAGACAAAGCAGTGCTGGATCTGTAAAAGAACAGAAAACCCAGTAAAAAAAGACTGCTACTCTGGTCTTTACTTGTGCTTCAGATCAACGAAAGAGAGAAAGAAAGAGAAAGATGAAGACGATGAAAAAATAAAGGAAGAAGAAGAAGAAGAAAGGACTGGTCTCGGACAGCGAGGGTGCTACGGAGGCAGGAACCAGGAAGTCCACACCCACCAAAAAATAAATAAAAAAATAAAAATAAAAACCCAACCCCACGGCCCACGCACTGAAGGAGCGAGCAGAGAAGGTGGAGCTGGTCAAACCCCCTCCTCCTTACCAAATCTAACCATGGTTACTTTCTAACCTTTCACAAGTTTTCAGAACTCAGTTCAGAACACAGACAGACACACTTGTGTTATTAATAATCAATCAACTAATTAATTATTTTAATATTCAAACGGATCTTCACACCGTTCACACTCCACTTCACGCCGGCGGTCTCAAGTTTCTCCTCCCTCATTCAATGGTCTAGTGGCCCACCAGGAATGGGGGGATGACTTGGACCCAGGAGACATAAACCAACCTCATTACATGCTGGCCCCACCAGATGGGATGGACGGTTGAGATCCACGGGCTAATACACTGTATCGGGTGTATAACTGAATTGCCGCTGTTCATTAATTGTTGGTCAACTTACAAGGTGGAAGGGTAGGGTCCATTAAGAGTATATCATCATTCAAAGAAGCAGAGTGCAATCAATCTGGAGCGTTTGATTGGTGGGAACCTGCAATCATGGCAAGGGGAGTTTATGGTATGGGGCCACCTTAAGTGCCCTTGATCAAAGACAGGTGGTTCACATTGGAAGGTGGTATTGTTTATCGTAGGCCAGATGGCATGGTGTGCTTTCCTTCTCCTTCCCTGGTTGAAACGTTAGGTAGCTTGTTTTTCACCAAAGATGAAGTCAATGAAGACCCTTTGAAGAGTGAAACTAGACTTGTATCAATTTGTCTTCATCTTGAAGGAGGAGACAAAAGAAACTACCCTTTTAATAAAGGAAGGAGGAAGGAGGGATCCAATGCCACAGCCTACACACTAAGGATAACACTTGGTCTTGTATCTTTGATCATCAAGATCAGGTGGTGAGGAGTATGGCCTAGTGTGGGGCCTATTCATGCCCCCATCAGATAGGGTGGTTTCATGATACGATCATAGTAGGGTATAAACAAGAGTAGCTTTCTTAAAATCTCTTTGTAGTGGTCAAAAAGCTGAGGAAAATGTGTTCAAAAGAAAGGCAAGCCTTTTCTAAAATTGAGCCTTTTAATCATGTGATGATGTAATTAAGCAGAAATCAAGCTTCACCAAACCAAGGGGAGGAGTCCTCCCTTGATGAAGTACAGTGGAAATTTCTGTGATATTTACCATTTTAGGGTTACTTACTTCAAGAATTTAGAATGCTCTGCCTAAAACTTGACAGACAGACTTTTTTTTTTAATTCTATCTTCATCCTAGTGAAGAAGAAAATAAGTCATTTGGTCTCATTTCTTTGCACAAACACTCCCTTAAGCTTAGTGAGAATATCCAACAGTTGATTGTTGCAGTAAATGATGGAACTGAATAAACCATCTATTGTTATTGAGCTTAGGGTTATCTGCTCCTAGAGAGATACAGGAGGGTCAAGGAATAGTAGTGGCAAAAACAATTATGTGCAGTGCAGGATCTGAGTACCTTCAAATATTTTTCTTGAGCATGGAGCTATTGAACTGCTAGACTGTAGATGAGTCCAAGGTTCTGTAACTTGACATCTGTCCTCTGCTCAGAACATCCAGGGTTATATCACTATTGAGTGGGTCCCACTTGAGGAATAATGTTCTATTTTTTATCTTTGCAAATATAATAAATATTAAATATTAAAAAACCAAGAAAGTATACATGGTAAAGTTGATTTAGGGCCCAATTAACCTCTGAGGAGAGACATATCAATAGAAAGATTCTCACCATCTGAGAATGAAACTTTTGGACAATTTTTTGAGGGCCATAAACTGTTCTACAGGTCCAGTAACCCTGCACCCACCCAGGAGAATGCCAAAAGAAATAGTATCTCTCACTTTTTTTATTTTGGGGGTTTTGTTTTGTTTGTATTGTTCTTCACAGTAATACAAACATTATCAATCTTTCTCAACAGAAAATGAGGCGTGCACTCAATTGATATCCAAAGAACTTTGTGAAAACCTACCAAACGATAATACTATTTACACCTAGATACAAAACATTACCCCCTGTGTTAACAAAAAGAGTTTACTGTACTATTATTTTTATTATTGTGAAAAAAGGTTCACTAACCGGGTCAAGTAAGGAGCTTCCTTATTATACAAACTGTCATATATAAAGGCATGATGTGGCCATCCCAACTATCTTCAAATTAGGAGACTCAAGACTGGCAACTTGTTCAGAGCCTGTTTGGGAGGACTGAGCTGAAGATTCCATTAAACTGGTTCAGTTGCTTTGAAACGCTCTAAAGAAGATTTAATTCTTCCCTATTTTTATAAAAGAAAAATGAAAAAACACTCTAGATAGGCTATTTAAAAAGGCTGAAGTGATCAGATCAGCTCTTTAAAGACAGACTGACAGTGATTAAGTATATATTTGGCCTCTATGCTGTAGATGTGTGGGTTGGAAGTATCATTTTCTCAAAATGGTGTCTTTTTTTTGTTTAGAAACGTTGTTGTCAGGTAGGACGTTTCCTGGAGCAATAGCAACGTTTTCTGTTTGGTACCAATGCTCCAGGAAACGTTTTCAGCACTGGCACCTATTATCCAGTGCCACATCATGTCCCTGTCACTGCCACCTCATGTCTATATTGGCAGCAACAAGCTGTAGCTCTAGGAAACACCAAATTCGACGTTACTCTAAGCCATGCCTTTCCGATTTTTAAGACATGGCTTGAAGCACCATTTTTATGGAAAAACAGTTCTAAACAAACAAGTGTTTCCTGGAGCAACGGCATCGATGCCAAACAGATGCTTAGGTTCTCCAATTTTTCAGCAAATATAGCTTATGGGCTGTTCATGTGGTGCCCTCCAAAATGCCAAAAATCACCGCACCTCAGCCCTCCCAAAAGGGCACTCAATTCACTAGTCCACATCACCCTACACCCCACCTTTTATTAGTGTCCTTCTCGACTAATATTAACTGCTAAAATTTCACCAAATATGGCATTAGCTTATAGATTGTCCATGTGGGGCCGGCTAAAAAGCCAAAAGCCACTACACTTAGCCCTCCCAAAAAGGCACTCAATCACTAGTCCACATCAACCCTTCACCCCACCTTTTATTAGTGTTTTTCTCAAATAATATTAACTGCTAAATTTTAATATTAAACTTGTAGCCAAAGAAGGCTTTATTCTGATCATGTGTGACAATGGTTTTTGGTAGGGTTGCAAATAAGGGGTTGTTTGGAATCGTAGTCATTTTTCAAAAAAATGGTGCCATGTCGGATCCATATAGGTGTTTCAATAAATGCCCATGCATCTCATTGTTTGGTTCAGTCAATTATTAAAAATTGGGCATGCCTCGAAAATCGGGACCCCACCGATGCATGAAACGCCTATGTATCTCATTGGCGTTTTATGCATTGGTGAACCATTCCCCCAATGGTTGACTGATGTGTATCCTATGTGGTGCTTACCTGTCAGCACATACATGAAAAATGATGATGAAAATCACCTCACCAAACAGCATAGTGTTGCTCACTGCCTACGTGGCAAAAACGTTTTTTTGTGAAAAACGAATCTTGGAAACATAGACGTTTTTTCTTGAAAATTGGTTCCAAAAAGTGCCCATACTTCCAAACACCATGTAAGTCAAATAAAATCCGATTTAAATATAAATCCAATCCAGTAAGAGTTGTAAAATATTATATATTATATATAATTATATAATGTAATATATATTATACTATATAATTAATATAATATATTACTTATATTATCAAGTTTCTTTTACTACAATCCAAATCGATTTGGATTTGGATCAGTTCACTCGGATCAAATATGCCCTTTACCAAATCTGACCCCATCCGTTTGCACATCTAGATTTCGGGCTCACATTTGGCCCATTAATAGAGGATGGCAAGAGAAATGTCAGACAATTATGGGCTCCAAACCACTTTTCCATGCGGAAGATCCCACTAACACACCCACTCACTATTATTATTTTTATGTATATGATATGGTTTGATGCATTTAATGTGGGAAGCCTTAGCCCAAATGATGAATATCAAGAATACCCTTTACTTGTTTAACCTTTTATTTTACCTTTCAGCTGCAACTTAAATCACCTCTCTGTAGAACTATCTTATCCCCCTTCCTTCTTTTATATCACCCCTGGCTTACGATGCATTGAAGCCGCCTCTTCCCAGTTCCATCAACTGTTTGCTTCTTGGTTTTTGTTCACATGCCATTCACTGGCCTTTTTGGTAAAGCATGAAGAGTGTTGCAAAGACCACTCTGCCAAACAGAGCCATTTATACAAAGAGCTCTCAAGTCTCAACCATCTGATCCACTTTAAAATCTTTGGTTTAATTTTTTGGTGGGGCCAATCAACAAAACATGAGGTTGGAATGGGTATTATTAGTTATTAGGATTAAAAGAAATCAGAGTATTGATGGAAATCATGAACATTTTGTATGTTTTTATGATGACATAGTTATGTTGTATCATCTTCTCCCATGAGATCTCCTCTCTTTTCACTCTAAATCCAACAATGCTTGGCACAGAGGACTTTTATATAAGGGGTTATTTGAAACAAAACCCTTAAATCATTGCCCATAACTATCACATCTTTTGATATATTTATTACCAACATGAGTAAGGCCCATCAGTCCATGATAACATGGAATGGCCTGTGATTCTAACATGGGCTGTTAATGGATCCTTTTACTTCTAAGCTTAGGAAGGAAATTCTTTCTGTCCTTTAATTGATTGGGTTTGTGTAGGACTCTTTTAAGGGTATCCTCATCCCAGTACCAATTCATAGTAGGACAGAGCAACCAATTATCCACTCAATAGTTTTGGAAGATACCCAAGAAAAAAGGGGCACTAGAATCCCCTTTCTGATCTTCCTTCGCCTAGTTTTGGTAACTAGCAGTTGTAATCCATATAGAACTTTCCCTGAAATTTTCAGCTCCCTTAAATAGTATTTTATAATTCCTAGGGCTATGATTAGGTAATTGCCTTTTTAATTTCAATCTTCAAGACCCTTGATAGCTGGGACCCATATTGGGTCATGGTTTTT